CAAATAAGCCTTGCATATCCTTAGAGTCTTTTATTTTCCTCCTATTGGGTAAGTCTTGCTGAGTACAATCGAGTACTCTGGGTTTTATTCCCTCCCGTTGTAGGAGACCGATGGATGGTAGATGACTTTTTTGTGTGGAAACCTCCTGGTGGGCTCAGAGAGGATTCCTTTAACGCTACGACCATAGTATTTATTTATCACCCTCACTAAAAGTTTTTAGAAGAAAAGTTTTATGATTCACTATTAATCTTTATTTCCGCTGTAATTCTGATCATATGTTGTTCTCCGCTGCAAGATAAAAATGTAAACCTAAAATGTATAAACTATTTTACATGTAAAACTATCTTAATTTCACTATTGCATTCAACTTGTTTAAGTACTCTAATGTTGTAATAAAGTGATGTAAGAAATGGTTAAGAATATTGTAAGTTTTATTCACTCATTTATGATCCTGATGGAAAAATATAGATTTTTGAGTTCTCCCATGGGGTGTGCTCGACGGAATAGCACGATTTAGTGCACTCTCTTGGGTACTTAGTGTCTAATGGAAGACAAGTACTCTTGGGAGGGCATTAGAATAAGCGGTTCTACCACAATAGGCAGCCAATTAATCATAATATCATAAATGTAAACCTCCATAATCACCCCAATTAGATCATGGAAAATCAAATTCATAGCTCTTTGATAAGGAGCACCTGCATTCTTCAGCCGAAATGTCATCACAACCCACTCAAAGAGACCAATAAACCTAGGACATATGAAGGCCGTCTTTGACATATCTTCTTCGGCCATGAAAATCTGATTATAACCGGCATTACCATCAAGAAAGCTAATAACCCGGTGTCCTAAAGTATCATTGATAAGCATATCAGCTATAGGCATAGGATATTCATCTTTTAGAGTAGCTCTATTCATATCTCTAAAATCAACGTAGACTCTGATCTTCCCATATTCTTTCTTCTCAAATGGTACAATATTAGAGACCCACTTCGTATACCTGCATGGCTGAATAAACCCCGCTTGCAATAGTCGATTAATCTCCTTTTTAATCCTATCATAATTATAGAATTAAATCGGTGGGGGTTTTGCTTGAAAGGTCTGAATCCTTTCTTAATAGGGAGCCAATGCTCAACAAGCTCTTGGCTCAATCCAGAGATCTCTGTATAATTCCATACAAAACAATCAACATATTCCTTGAGAAGCGCGATTAACTCATCTTTGTAATCAACTTCCAAGTTTTGATTAATAAACGTCGGCCGAGGCACAGAGCCATCCCCAATATCAACTTGTTCCAAAGGGTCGGCCGACGTAAAACCTTGGCCCAACTTATCAAGCTCATCAAAATCATCAATGGCTTCATAGGCATCGGTCTTATTAGCCCGATACTGTTCAACACGATGTTTTAACCATTCAACGTTGGCATCCATTACAATAAATTGATTACACGATGATATCAAGCCAATTATCAATCGACTTCAAAGATATAGGAACAAAACCTTGCCTAGTAACACTAATAAATTCAAAGCTAGAAAGGTTCGTACAGACAAACAAGCAATAGCATCATGCCCCTCGAGCAAAGAAGCATCTGCTGAAGCAACATCAGCTGATGAATATAAATGCACAACCTCAACAGCATCTCCCACCCATTGGATGAGAAATTGGTGTAAGCTAGATGGCATGCAGCGATTGGCATGGATCCAATCACACCCAAGTATCAAGTTATACCTACCTTGCACGTTGACGACAAAGAACGCCGTGGCCAAAGTCTTGCTTCCAATAGTGAGCTCCATGTTAGCAACTCCTCTGGATGGGATAGGAGCACCTCCTCCAACACCACTGATGGTCATGTTGGTCTTGATTAGCTCCTCATCAGTGCCACCGAGCTTCTTGTAAAGCGGATATGGCATCAAGTTAACTATTGCCCCACTGTCCACCAACATGCTATGGACTGGTGTGCCATTGATATGGCCCTTCACATGTAGAGGCTTGAGATGGTTGGTGGAGTCATTTGGTTTCTGAAATACAATGCTCTCCGTTGCGAAATTAAACTCCGCCGCCGTAGAATCATCCGCCACGATATAGTAATCAGCAGATAAAACAACCACATTGACCTCCGCCCTCTCTGGAGTGGCTTCATAATCAACCCTCTCCTCATCAAGGACCTCCATGCCTACCAGGGCAGCAATAGTGGAAGTAAAATCATTAGAAGACATCTTGTAGGCACCCGGGACAAAAGGAGCCGACTCAGTCGACTCGGAAGTCGGCTTAATCGACTTTGGAATTTTTAGAATAATAGGGGCAACAACAGTTGTCTTAGCCGACTCCTCAGTCGTCTTAGCCTACTCTGGACCTCCCAAAGTAGCAGCAGGGGTGTCAGTCGGCTGGCCAACAATAGCGGCGGCATTTTGATCTTTTGAAAGGATTTCGACGTGTTTGGGGTTGAAGACTTCACCCTCCATCTTGGTAAGTCTATCCCTCTTCTATTGCTTATACCGGGCACGCTGCAACTTGCGCCGTTGAGTCTTATTCAACCCACGAGGACACCATATGGGTTGCCAGTACTTAGAATCCCCATCAGCACCCTTCTCCTCTTCAACTCTAGCAACTTATTTAGGAGCTTCATCTTGCTTAGATGCTAGAATTTCTTCAATTACAATCAGCCCATCATGATTAGTGACAGGAGCTTCCATGGAGCCAATTGTGATGACCGATTGAGGCCTAGCTCTTGGTTGGGGAACGATAGGAGCCTCAACTTTCTTAGGCACATAAACTTACTGCAATGGTGCCTTTCCTGATCCTTGCGGAGCCAAAGTCTTGGTAATCACATTGCTTTGACTTGCACCACCGGAGCCCGATTGACCATTGTTCAATCGGCTAAACATGGAGGTCCTTGGGACTTGACCAGTAGATTCTCCCCATCTTTGTTGACCTTGCATTAGTGCTGCTGGAGGATATAGCACCCAAACTGCATAGGGACCCCATTGTGGCATGACGGGGGGTGGAATCGAGGGACCTCAGCGAGATACACGAGGAGCAACTCTCTGAGGTGGAGCTATTGGTTGCACCACCACCAATTGCTTGGACTTGTCATCTTCTCACTTAGGAGGAGTAGGCTCTCTTTTTAATGGCCAATTCTAGGAATTGGCCTTTTGATGTTTATACTTGGTCATGAGCCTATCAAAGGTACATTGCTTTTTCATGAGCTCTTCCTAGTTCTTCTTTTCATTGGTCTTCCAAGTACCAAACCCCAGCCGTTGCGGACCAACATGCGCAAAACACGAACACCGGAGGAACTAGGGCTGCTGGAACTAGCTGACTCGGGCAGTTGGCTTAGCTGACTTAGCTGAGGTAGGGCAGGAGTCGGCTAAGCCGACCCCCTGGTTCAGCTGACCTGACTGGCTCTACTGCGCAATGGAGTTGGCTTGGCCGACTGGTAGAGTCGGCCTAGCCGGCCTCTGCTGTGTCGCCGCTATTTCGTACCACCACTACCTTCTCAAGTATTGCGTTGATCCAGCGGTGATCTTTAGCTTGTTCTAGCCTTCATCATCCTTCTCAAGCACCACCTTGCGCCCCGAATTCTTTTCGACATTCGGTGCTACACATGGTTCACCGATAATCACATTCTTGCCTTGAGCTTTATCGGCTTGCTCTGGACGAATCAAAACAGCGGGTGCCCCTACTTCAACCATATGCATGGGAAAAGGGACTTATCAACTTGCATCTCAGTAATACTCAATCATCCCTCATTAAGGGCCGATTGGACCTGCCGACAAAAAATATTGCAATCATTAGTGTCATGAGAAAATGAGTTATGATATTTGCAATAAGCCTGTCTCTTTAACTCATTAGTTGAAGGCAATGTATAATTAATTCTAATATAACCGAATTTCAATAATTCATCACAGATTCGGTCATATTTAGAGAAATCAAAAGTAAATTTCATTTTCTCATTCCAATTCTTATGAATCGGTTTGAGAGAAGGACAAGTAACCAATTTATTTTCTGCTGGCCATTTAATTTTAGCAGCTAAAAGTTCTTTATTATCATCATCAGAATCATCGGAACAATCACCAACAAAATGCACATTCTAACGATGAGACTTGTAAGCATCATGAGACTCTTTAAGGCGCGATTCAATCGAAACGGCCTTTTATAACAATTGATTTACATTAACAAATTCATAATGCTCAAGTTTCTCCCTAATACTAGGACACAAACCAGCAAAACATAAATCAGTTAAGTCTATTTCTGAAATCATCAAATGAAAATATTGGTTCTTGATTCCTCTAAACCATTTGAAAAAATCAAGGACAAGTTCATCACACCCTTGACGAACCGATGCAAGGTGAGACAATCTAGTTTCATGAGCACCATTGTAAAAATGATTATGAAATTTCTCTTCTAATTCACCCCATGAACCAATAGAGCAAGATGGTAATAAAGTAAACCATGCAAAAGCTATGCTAGTAAGTGATAAAGGAAAATTACGAACTTTCATGAAATCATAAGCACTAGCTTCACCTAGTTGTGTAAGAAACATGTTAATATGCTCCATGGTCGACTTACTATCATCACCACTAAATTTATTAAAATCAGATATCCTCCACCCATCAGGTGCTTTCATGAAATCAAAATGTGAAGGGTACAATTTGCGGTATGTAGTCCTGCTAGGCTTGATTTGTACACCCAAACTTTCCTCAAGTGATTTAGACAATTCCTCTCTAAACCGATTCAAAGTATCACTAAAATCGGTAGTAGGAGCAGTAGGTGTATTATCAAGTGACTTGGGCGGGTTAGGAAGAACCATGTTTTGCCCTACTGAAGCTCGGTTTGTTGCTGATCTTTGATCGGTTCGTGTGTTTCGAGCCGAATTTTGATCATAGATAACCAATTATGAAGATGGAGCAACACCGGCTAAACCGGTCTTATCGGTTTCAAATGCCGAAGGGTCCGATTTTCCTTTATTTGCTGCTGCATATAATCCTTAGTTCTCATAAAATTTAAAGGCATACCACACGATCGGTTGTTTTCTCTTCTAAGTTATCAATATGAGCCATGATCATATTTACCGCAGCTAAAAGATTATTATCAATTACTTTTTTATGATCATCCATCATAGTAGCGTAATTGGCATGCGTAGGATAAGGATCTTTATCGTATTTGGGTTCAGTGGTCCTTACCTCAGATGCAACATGTGCAGATGATGTAGAAGTGATGAATTCGCTGAAATCTGGTTCCTTGTATTGGGTGACCTTGTCCCGCCGATCTTTAGTGCAACTCTGAAGAAAAGTATTCAGAATGGCGTTGAACTTGGCCTCTACTTGTTGCTTTAGCTCCTCGGGAAGCGCTTCGACGGTCTCGGGATGGTTGATGTTAGCATCATGAGGGACGCGAGTCTTATCGCCCTTCTCACCTACATCATCACCCTTGCTTCCCATGCCGGTCTTAGATTGAATCCTGGATTGCTTCGCTTTCCTCAGCGGAATCACCAAAAAGTATGTTAACGTTGAAGATAACCCCAAGCCAACACACCAGCAGGGCCCTAGGCGCCTAAAGAGGTTGTAGATCAATATGCAATGCAGCAAGAACACAGCGCAATCGACCAAACCGATCTAGAGATCGATAAGGCCAATGTAGAGCATGTTCTTGGCTGGAAATGCTCCCGAACTTCTCTCGTGAGGACCCATTGGGGAGGAGCACGTGGAGGATCTCCTAGAACCAGCAAGACCGCCTAGGATGCCGCTGAATCTCGTAGGGAAACTCAACGAACAACAGGAGGTTTTGAAAGAGAGATATTAGGGCAAAAGGAGTTAATATGTTGTATTTTTGACGATTGGATAGATGTGAACGTTTTGGAGATGTTTCCTACTCCTTTTGCTACTTCTTGCTATAAAATATTTATAAAATATAGTCATTATATACTTTTATGAAACTACATTTCGAGATGAATCTACTTACATCACTTTCATGTTTTCAAACTCAATCAAAAAAAAATATTTGTAGTCAAAGTTTAAAATGTTTGACTTAATACAACCGCAAAATGACTTGCTTTAGGGAATGGGAGGGAGTACTGATCAGACAATGTGTAGCAGGTAAGTTTTTGCTCTACTTGCAGCTAGTCCAACCTGTTGTGTGATCCCTTGCTAACCATATAATTGTGAGGTGATGGATCAACCCATTGATTATTTTTCTCATACCAAACACGAGTGCGGATGTGATGAATCAATCCATTCCTCAAATTAACCGTTTACCTTCTTAGTTGAGGATTTCAACTTCTGAAAGTTAAGATTCCTCTTTCTTTTTTTCTCCAGATTAAGTTCCAATTTCTAGTAGTCCTTATCTTCAAATTGAAGACCCTCAAATGATTGTTGAAACTTTAATGAATTCAAGGAGTTTTTTTAAAGACTCAAAGATAAGAGCACATAAATGTCCACTTTTGCATTTTCACAATTTTAGCTACAAAATTCCCTTTCAACAATACCTCCATAGGAAAGACTCAAAGATAACAGTACTGGGAGTGCACGATTGTTAGGATTAATTCCTGCAAATTTTACGAGAACTGCATGTGTCTCTTGCACTAATCTGGACAATATTACAAGGATATTTATTCATGTGAGAAACTGTATATATAAAATTATAAATATATATAACCACAGTTCTATACGAGTTTAAGCGTCAGGCAACCACACATTCTAAAAGAAGAGGTAGCCATATACAGTAACAAGTAACGGCGTACATCAACACCAGTCCGGCAGTCCCGTATACTTTCCTGTCAACGACGAAGCCGGGACTCCCAGCCGCCATCGCCGTCCGCGCCAATGGCACCGACGGCATCGGTCCCCACGCCGGACCGGACGCCCCCAGCATGACGCCCGCCCGTCCCGTCAAGATCGTAGCCATGCAATGCCATGAAGAGCTTCTCCTTATGCAAGGCCAGCTCCTCGTCTTGCCCCGTCCTCCGCGGCCTCTGCTTCCTGATGCCACCGCCGACGCCGCCACAAGCTGCCACCTGATGCCCGCTCGCCTTCCTCCGCCGGAGCCCTCCCCTGAGCGGCACGGGCACGGCCTCCAGCCCCATCAGTTTGGCCACCACGCCGGGCTTGCACCACACCACGCTTTCCCCGGCGACGGTGGCCGGCAACCGCAGCGTCCGCTCCAAGTCCATCTCGTATCCCCCCACGCTGCACGCGAGCGCCGCGCACCCCGCTCCGGCGGCGCAGCACACCGAAGCCCTGGCTGGCCGGTTGCCGGCATTATTGGCGTCGCGGCCGCGGTCGCGGCCCATGCCCTCGTAGAAGCCGCTGAACGACGCGCGGTACATGGCGTCCCGGCCGTCGAGCGAGAAGCGCGGGTACTGGCTCAGCGCGTCCCGCGCCGACCGGAGCACGTGGTCGGCCGGGCCACCTCCGCCGTCGACGCAGGACATCCGCCGTGGGCACCAGCCCTCCTCCGTCGACGTCCCCTCCCCCGGCGCCGCGCGCCGCGCCTTCCTGGCGGCCTCCTCCTCCAGGTCCAGCTGCAGGATCATCTGCTCAAGCGTGACCGCCGGACCACCACAGTTGCCACCGGTGCCGCTCACCTCGGTCTCCGCCACGCACGAACCAACCACCGACGGCGGCACGGTAACGAAGGACGAGGATACTGCGTCCGCGCCCGCCGCGCTGCCGGCGGCTGCCAGCTCCTTGCCGTGGAGCTGCTGCACCGTGGAGGTGGAGGCGACGCCGTGGCAGAAGCTGGGGAGCCCGCGACGGCGCATCACGTCGTGGATCGAGGCGAGGGGCAACTCAACTGACTTTACCAGGAAGAGCGATCGAGCTCACTACCTGCCGGTCTCTGATCTCTGATGGCATGACAGTCTGGTAGCTGTAGGCGAGAAGTATAAACGTACGTACGTGCGCGCGGCGGGGGCACGGGCGCACGGCTTGCGACGTGCACGGTCGTTACTTGGGCGCTCGTGATGCCGTTTAAGGCGAGGGGATGGGCGACGCATGAAGAGGAGCATGGGTCTAGTGAATGTGGAGGTGGTGGTGATGGTGCACCAATTGCAGTCACAAGAGAGCGATCAAACATAGGAGGGTCAAGGCGATCCATCCATCGGCCGGTCAGAAAGCCATAACAAGGTACGATTGGAGATTTGGAGTCACAAGGCAAAGCATGCGAGAGCGGCCAACAAGACCATACCGTTCCTTTTGAATTACGTTACTGCCAAAGAAAAATAAATTGGTCACCTAATTTACTTGTTAGCGCCTGTAGGTCCGATCTGGGCGCTAGCGTCCGGACGCTATCCGCACAGAGGGGGAGGGAGCGCCTAGAGCGTTGGGCTCGCGAGTGAGCGCAATAGTGGTTGGCCCCGCGCCGCCACGGACGTCGCCCACGCCGCCCCAGACGTCGTCCGCGCCGCCAGCCGCTTCCCACACGCATCCCATGTACAACACCTGATCTACTTTTGAAACATCTGGATTCAATAGTTGCAACATAAACAAGCATCTAAAACACTTGAAACAAGCATCTAAAACACTTGCGAAAACGCCTAGAATACATTTGAAAAACCATTGCAATTATATGCAATATCAAGATAAATCACTTGCAAACATATGTATGAAACACCAGAAAACACTTAAAACATATGCTTGCAACATGCATGTATATGCAATATCCAGATCTACTTTTGCAATATCCAAATAAAACACTTGCAACATACGTCCGGACCAGATGAAACATTTGGAACATACACTTGAAACATACATGTATAGCCATTCCAACATATGCAACATCCCGATCTAGTTTTGCAACATCTATATACAACACTTGCAACATACCTCTGAAACATTTAAAATACTTAAAACATATTCTTGCAACATGTATTTTCACCCTTTTTCTTCTGTATGTATGACGCAACACAGAGCGGGGGAACGCCCGATTCCGGCAAGCCGATGCCCGAGGATGGATGCGCGGCTTGGCAGCTCGCTAGCCTAGGCCGGCCAGCGATGGCCCTGTTCCTGGCCGCCTGGCCACACGTGGTGGCCGAAAGGAGCCGTCGATATCAGTGAGGTCGGAGAAGATACCCGCGAGGAGCGACGGGGAGCAGTGCGTGTGGCGGTGGCCCATCAAGGTGGGCGACGAAGAGTGGGTGTGGGCCGGGTTGAGGAGCGGCCGCAGGAAGCAGCACACGTGCTCTCGTATGAGCAGGCAGCGGCTGCATTTCCTGACTAGAGGAAGGAGAAGAGCAGCTAACGTTTAGGCCTACGTAAGAGAGGGAGGGAATAAGTTGGGTGTCCAGTTGGGCTGCTGGCCATTTGGCCCAGGCAGAGGGATCGAGCGCGGAGCAGAGCGTTCGATTTTTTTAATATCCCGGACATATATTCTGCAGCATTATCGAATTTTGTCACTTAGCTATCTATTTTAATCTAAATCTATAATAAACTATAAAAGAGCGAAGAAATTAAGAAATAAAGTTTATCTTGAATTCTTCTATCCATCTTAGTTTGTCACCCTTGGATTTCACATATAATGCATCTGGTTGATGACTACTCTCCTCACGAGTGGATCCAGGCCTTGTTTCTGCAGATATATATATCACCTCTAGGTCATTAGAATAGATTACTGTTTGACTAGTAGAAGTGATTAACGCTTTGAAAAACAAACTCTATCAATAGATCTAGCCGTCATCCTCCGCCCTGATGCGCTCATGGACGTTGTCCTCGACGAGGGTGACCTGTCCGGCTGTCCTAGCACGTCGTGCTCCCACTGCGAAGGAGGTGTATAGGACTTCTGTGGAGGCACTCCTCATGGACGAGGATGAGCAGCTGCCTGAGTCGCTCATCATCGCGCTGCTGGGACCCAAGCTGCAGCCTGCAGCCACGTCCACCGACTTCCTCCACTACCTCGTGGGCAACCCCACGCAGAATGTCGTCGTCCTCGACCACCTCCAGCATGGGAAAACGATGGTCATGGACATGCTCATAGAGTAGAGCAGTTAGCCATCGATTGAGCTAAGCAGGTTATTAGATTCTTCTTGCTCTAACTTACCTATGATAAAATGTGTTTCCATTGTATTGCAAGAAACATCCTCGTTAAGTAGCACTTGAAATAGCTGCGTCTACTCTGGTGACTCAATCTGTTGACACCATAATTTGGTTCGTTGTAGACTCCATGATTCAGCATATATCAAGAAAAGCCGTTGTAAGTACATAGACGGCTGGACAAGACACTGATCAGAGTCGGTGGGATTTCAATAGCATCGGCATCTCAAGAAGACCCCGACTATTGTAATGGACTCTACAGAAGGGAAAGATTGGAGTCAAAGTTATCATAGATTAGGATGTTTCATTTCTTTTTTTAAAGTTTTATGATTGGTCTTATCCGACCAGGACTTATAGTCATGCCTCGGATATAAATATTGAACCCCAGCTATTGTAATGGATCTCTCTCATCGATC